CGCAAATTCTAATTGGGGATTGGCTGCTGTTATTGGAAATACTAGTGAGCAGTGAGCAAGTATTTCCACCTGAAAACTCAGTGCCGAAGCCACTGCTCCTCTGTGAGAGGCGAGCACCACGTGCGGACCTCTCAGCAGATCCTGACAAGCTAAATACACTCCAAAAAGGAGATATAATAGGTTGCGGGTTGTGACAACTGCCTGACTCAATGAAGCTGCAACATTTTGAAGAGGGTTTTAGCATCCTACCAGTAGAAAATCTATGACGAGCAAGTCTGCAAGACTAAAACTATGCTATTTACTTTTAGAAAGTTGGCAAATATCTAATTGACTAAATAATGTTATGTCTAAGTGCAATTTTATAGGTATTTCCCTTTATTACGTGTAATGACGTTTAGGAAATAGGACATACAATGATATTCTTACCAACTTATCCAAAATGAGCTTTTTAGTGTGGATTTCTAAGAAAATTTAAGTTATTGTGAGCGTGTTGTTAGACTTTCAATACCTTCTCATGTCATTTCTGTCTCCTCAAGAAGTCTTTAACCTGCTGAGGATCTTCAAATATATTTAAGAGACGGGTTCAGATCTCAAAGTTATCAGAATTTCTTAAGTTTCAGAAACACTGTTGCCTGGATAAAGAAGAGACCCTAATTAGCAGCTCAGTTCAGGTCAGTAGCATTTTCTGAGTCACCTTTTTGTCCAGCTGGTAGAGGGCACAGGAAGAACTAGGAGTTCCCTTCTTTGAAGGGGTTTCTTGATTAAAAAGGATATTTGAAATTAATGTGATGGATATAGCTGTGATATTTATGGAAAGGAATGTGCAGGAACATAGGAACATAAATCCATTGAAATTCAAGTTTGAATAGTGCTGTTAGAAGCTTTTAAGCAGCCAGTATAGACTTCTAGAGATATAAGGGAGGCTGTGAAATAAATTTACAAGACCTGTTGAAAGTGCTTTTGAAGTTAACTTCAGATATACTTCTTGTCTCATATAAATTAAATAGTATTTCCCTTATTGGGGCTGCTTAAGTAATTCTCTTGGCCATACCAGTGCCCTCACTGAGTCCTCCTTCAGAGATTTAGTTTTCCTGAAGCAGTTAATTCTTCTCTGCACTGACTTGAGAATTTTACCCAGGTAGTTCCAATCTAACATAGATAACCAGAGCTGGTCCATATGGACACCCTCCATACTGTGTCTGTGTTTCCAGTCTAATCTCCATTTCCCCTTTGCTTCCTATGCCCAACACTGTAGAGCAATAACTTTACTGCCCCATTTGAGTACTTCTTCAAAACTCTCACCTTCTATGGGCACACATACCATAAAGCTGAGGCCACCAAGACCTGGGCTGGTGGCAGCCTCTGCCTGCTGCTGCTGACTGCTGGAGAATCCTGTGGTCACTCCCAAAAGTTATTTGCTACCTCATTTGACCTACATCCCTTAAGCCCATTTGTTTGCCTCATCTCCTAACTACACCTTGCCTTTGAGAATGTCTGTGCTGCTCTCCAGAGAAGTAATTACAGCATGTACAGTCACACCAGTCTCAGAGGAGAGGCAGTGGAGCTGATGGCCTTCATTAATTGTTTAGGGTGCCTGTTCTGCCATGCACTCTGTGATTCTCCATTTTCATTGTGCCCTTTACTTGAGATACAGTAAAACTGTTATAGTTAAGTCTACAACTCCAGTCCAAGTGTAGAAATAATCTTAGACAATAAACTGAGCAAGGGCTGCCAGTTGTTACAGGTCTTTTTCAGGAGTCATGATACAGAGCTGTCTCAGAAAATTTTCCTTGTAGTATAAGAACACTGTTCAGATTGTGCATAAAATACTGTTCTTGTTGCTAACTCTGAGGAGCAGTAGCAAAAAGAAAAAAAGTTGTCCAGATTTGGGACTGAATGAGAGCCTGGGAAGCATGAGTATCTGAAAGAGCCTGCTGATTGCAAGAACTTCTCTTCCAGCATTTATGCCTTTAAGCTTATCAAAGCACACCACACTTGGGAAAATATGCTGATTTGTTCTCCAGTAAGAAATTTGTGCTTGGCACCACAAACACAATGGGGCGGCAGTTCAATTTCAATACTAATGAAATAGATTCCTATGATGCAGATTGGGGTTTTAGAGAACATACAACTAGCTGCTAAATACGTTTTGCTGGGGTGAAAAGGAGTGACAGATGAGCTGAGGCTTTCTTAATGACTTCGGGCTTACTAGGAGGATCATTTTTATGGTGTAAGGAACTGGACTGTTTATCCTGCAGAATATAACGAGGAAAATACGTTGGTGTTTGAGAAGGGGTGAGGACTGGTGTGTGTGTTGGCCAAGGGGCTGCGGGCCCGTGCCCGTGGCAAACACAGCGAGCAGAGCACACGCACCTGGAAAGCTGGGACAGGCTCATTTTGGAGACATTTTGATCATCCGTGTACGGCTGGGTACTTTCTGCCGGAGCCTCGGGGCCTCGCACGGCAGCAGAAGGGGGGGTCTCCCAGGCTGCGGCGCTGCGATTCCCGCGGGAAGGGGAAGACCCTGAGGAGGGTGCCCGGGGTGGCCGAGGAGCGGGGGGTTCCCGGGGCTTCCCGAGGGGTTCCCG